TTGAAACTTACTATATATGCACATCATATTTCAATTTAGATGTATGAATATTATCTTTCATAGAAATTGTATAAGCTTGAAAAAATATCTCCCGGACCTTAAGTTTATCGTAAACTGATAATACATGTACATCGTTTAGAAACGATAGTGGCTACAGCGTTTATCCGATTATGGTGAAGTTTGGTATGGAAGTAACATATTGATCTTTCAAGTTTGAAATGAGCCTAGTATCAAATTCATTATTGAGTTCCTGAGTGATTGTGCTGTTAAACAACATACATACCAACTTTAATTGAGATCCGATAAACACTGTAGTGTCTATCGTGCCCACACGCCAAATTTCACGCATTATTACTAAGTCAAGGGCAATAACTCAGAAACTGTTCATCCATATATTATTACGTTCTCACTTTGACTGCGATCTCACCCATATACACATGCATACCAAGTTTCATCAAGATCGGATAAAACCGGTAGACTTTAGCCAAATTTGACTTCGGTTTTGTAGGTCAAGGGCAAAACCTCTGAAACCGTTCATCCGATTATGACTAATTTGACCGAGATCTCATCAATATAAGGTCACACAAGCCAAAATTATGCTTTGTTATAAGCACTAACTCAACAACTATTCATCCAGAATGGGCCAAATTCGAACGTAACCAATCGTAACAATATGAACATGCATACCAAGTTTCAAAGATCGATTAAAATTTGTAATCTCTTCTGCCTACAAGCCAAAATCGATGCATTTTCACTAACGGACGGATGGACAGGGGCGATAAAAATGAACATTTTGTATATTTCCCCCTTTACTCATATATTGAACAGATATTTATCGATTAAAGTTTTTGAGGAACCAATGTATTATGAAGTTGTTAAAACAGGTGCAGTGCAGCACCCGAAATAACGGGGAAGCTGAATTTAAGATAAGGGTAATGCATGGGGAAGCTTTCAGCTTAATACTTACGAGTGAGAGGCCAAGCCACATCTTGCCTTTTGTATTGGTATTTTAGTAACCACTACAAAAGACACCGTTATCATTTTTGACAGCATTCGGTGGGTGTACGTCAAAAAGAAATCTAGAAAGCTGTAACCTGCAGAGTTTGTAAGAGACTTATTTGGTACATGGAAATGATCTTAAACAAATTCTCAAATCCATAGAGTAGTTTAATCGATCAGTACTATTCAATCCAATTTGTTTTTTAATGAAAAATCAGAGAAAATACCATTCCCCATGCACCTCCAAAACACAAACCGAAACTTATTTTATTGTTCGATATATGCAAGCTATTTTTTTTTTTTCAACGGAACTAACATAATACAACAGGATAATATTGTACTCAATACTTTGTGAGAAAGTTTAGCTAGATAACGAGACAAAATAACGTTAAAATTGATAGTACAGTAGACTTAGAATCCAAATTGTAATGCTAGTATTAATATAACTCATTGCATATAAAATCATATTACCGAACTGCGCCATGCGATAAGTGCATACAAATCATTGTTCACTGAATATTTTCTAATTACCAACCCATACATTAATGAATTTGTGAAATATACATGTATTAAAGAGTTATCTACTAGACTTTCACTGAAATGAAATGCATTAAGGAGAATCAGCACCAAACGGGCTATATAGCTCCAGAATACGATGAAATAATGAAACATTACAAAAACAATAAAACACTTATCAATATCACACAAAAGACTACTTTCACTGAAGTGCAAGTAGTACAAAATATATATCCAAGATTAACTCTTTCGCTTTAGAAATCTAAAAGTTCACATATTTAAAATTATGAAACCCAGTTAGTCTTCTGTCCATGCACAATGCATACTAACTAAACCCGAAACGCCTGTATATTTGATGATTCTAATAAATTTCTTGTAGGCAAAGTCAATTACAAAGTGGTTCCAATCGAAGTAAAAAATAAGGGCGAAATTAATCTGACCATGGGAGGGTCAGCTCTCGATAACCAAATGTATAAATGATGTGTATAAAATGCAAAAAGATAGGCGAAATGAAATGAAATGCATCAGCACCAAAACGGGATATATAACACCTGAATACGATAAAAATAATACTAAAAAGGTAAATATGCATATAGATTAAAATATGCAAGAAATTAAAAACATTATCACAGAAAAACACCATAAATTGGTGGTATAAAAAACTAATACTACAAAACAAATGCAAACTAGAACCACTCGTGGTACTGAGTGGGACTTTGCTCTTGTGCCAATTTGCTAGAGAATCTGAAAAAATCAACGTTCTTAGCCAATTAGGTCACGTGCTAAAGCAGTTAAAAATTTTGAAAATTTCGCTTTTTTGGAAGGTTGTTTAAGCGGAAGTTGAAGCCAGACATAAAATATGAAAGTATGATTAGATTTCCAAGGTCAATGACCTTTGACCATGTTAAGGGGAAGGTCATTTAAGGTCAACGTCACTAGATATGAGTCTTCAAACTTTGAAAATACAAACATTATAAAACCGGAAGTTTACGATGAACATCAAGTATGAAGGAATAAATCTTTAGCCAAGGTCAATGAACTTCGATCCTACAAAGGTCAAGGTCATCAATGGTAAAGGTCAAAAGTTGAAAATTTGCAAAATTTAAACCCTGTTATTTTTTGTGAACTACGAAGCGGAAACAACTGACCTTTTCACACAAAATGGCCAAAGGGGTGAGGTAATTGTGTGCAAGGTCCTGTTTTGAACAAATGTATTTTATACAATTTATACCCCTGATAAAAATAAAAATAATAAGTAATTTAAGCCTAATGTGTCACGCCCACCTCAACTTTTTTGTCATACGTCAATCTATATTTAATATGTCTCATTGTGTTCCAAATTCCAAGCTTTTACAGAAAATAGGTCATAAGAAATACATAGAACTAGCTCAAAGAAGCTAACATATTGTAAAAAAACACCGAAATTTCAAAAATTCAGAAATTTCAATTTTGCATTATATATCACTGGAAAGAGCACGACGAGCACATTCAGAATCCACAAAAATTTACCCTTAAAGTTAATTAGGTCACGAGCTAGAGCAGTCCAAATTTGCGAATTGAGATGTTTTTGGACAGCTATAAAAGCGGAAGTAGACGTCAAAGGTCAAATATGAAAGCATAAACTAATAGACAAGGTCAATGACCTTTGACCCAATAAAGGTCAAGGTCATCAAAGGTCAAGGTCAAAAATTGAAAATTGTAAATTTCCAAAACCTGTTCCTTTTTTTGAATTATGAAGCTGAACTAACTGACCTTCTAAGACAAAGTGGCTCAAAGGATGACGTAATTGTGAGGAAAGTTCCATTTTGAACAAATGTATTCTTTGCGAGTTATGCCTTTGGCCAAAAATGTCAATAATGAATAATTTAACCCGGATGTGCCACGCCCACCTCAATTTTTTTTGCATAGGTTAATTGATATTTAAATTGTGATGCTATGTTCAAAATGTCAAGCTTCTACATCATGCAGGTCAAAAGATATAGGTCAACAAAAGTCAAAAAAGATCAAAATCGAAAATTGAAAATATGGAAATTTTAAAACCTGTTCCTTTTTTGGAACTATAAAGCTGAAATAACTGAGTTGCTAACACAAACTAGCCAAAAGGATGAGGTAATTGTGTGCAAAGTCCCTTTTTGAACAAATGTATCCTATGCGAGAAATGCCCCTTCCTCTAAATGTAAACAATTAGCAATTCAACCCGGATGTGCCACGCCCACCTCAACTTTTTTGTCATAAGTGAATCCATATTTAACATGTCTAGTTGTGTTCCAAATTTCAAGGTTCTACATCAAGTAGATCATAAGATATACATACATTAAGCTCAAAGAGACATAAATATGGTAAAAAACCACTCGAATTTGAAAAAATCAAGAATTTCAATTTTGCTTTAAAAGTACAATTGTTATATATCACTGGAAAGAGCATGGGAAGCACATTAAGAATCCGAAAAAAATGACCCTTTAGGTTATTTAGGTCATATGCTAGAGCAGTCCAAAGTTGCGAATTCGGCTGTTTTCGGAACGCTATAAAACCGGAAGTACAGGCCGGAGGTCAAATGTCAAAGTATCAACTGATAGTCAAGGTCAATGACCTTTAACCCTATAAAGGTCAAGGTCATCAA